AATGGATTTTTCCTCTGCAGACCACACAGGGCTGATTCATATCTCTATTGATTTAGATGAGGAGATGAACTGAATGGGATGAAATGAGATCGGTCCCAGAAATAAATTAGAAATTAATCATATCGATCTGTTCCAGACACACACACGGAAACAGTAACATGTATACTGTATAACAGGGTTAGTTGCAACGACACATCACAAATGGGTTCAGCTTTAATATAAAATTAATAATGCAACAATGCTGCCAAGGCTGTCATGGGTCTCCTCCAAGAGCTGTAGGTCATCAGAGACAAATCTGGGTGAAATCTTAATTCATGCAGGAAACCATTAAGCTTACTGGTTTGGCTTACCAGTTTGCTGCTGTTACTGTGGAGTTCAAGGCAGAAATTCCTGAAGGGGACCAAACTATAACAAGAATCAGGATAAGAAGGGTGCACGGCACAAATGAAAGTTCACAAAGTTTTCTGTTTCTGTGTTTTAGTTTCTTTGTCAGATGTTACTATGGTAGACTAAGACACATTTAAAGGCTTTTATGAACGATTACATTGAATACATCCAAAGCATTAAGAGTTGGTCCTTTTCAGGACCTCTTCATCTCACCCTGCCATGCTGTCAGTCGGCTTTTGGGCCAAATCTGGACTGATGGCAAGTTATTCTTCCATTATCAGTGCTTGGAGTTTTGCTGGATTTTTTAAGAATCAATCACAAGTCCTCATGGTGCCCCGTTATGTTGCAAAAGTAATTATTTATCACTAAACTGTTCTTCGATGGTTGTGAGGAGTTCCTCAGGGAGGACGTCACGGTACAGTAGTTATTATGTGACTAAAATTTGATTTTCATTGGCTGAGCAGCATCTCCACTTATGACTGGTCTCAGGATGATTCACTGTTGGGACAAAACAGGACTCATGACTGTGTTCACATTTTTACCCAGTCCTCAGCAGTCCAATCCCTGGCCTGTTTGGAGAACATCAGCCTGGAAACAGTTCTTTCTTTTCTACACTTCTTGACACCAGATCATCCTCCAACAGTCTCCTCCAGACTGTGCAGAGCCATTCACAGTTCTTCTCTGGATGTAGCCTGGTCCCACACCTGGATCAATCTTAGATGACAGTGTCGGTGCTGCTGGACTTTCTGGGTTGTCCTGGAGCCTCCTTCACACATGAACTGCATTTCAGCAAACACAGTAAAAACTAAGGGCTAACAGTGTTGCTAACCTTTGCCAAGTAAAGAGGTCAGTATTCATTTTCCCAGATAGCTCAGGAGAATTTTTATTTCAACGTCAGCCTCAGCTGTTAGATATCAGAGCTGATTAATAAGGATCATGCTAACACACGGCGCACTTGTTTACATTGAGGTCACAGCAATGTATATGCTAACATTAGCATTTAGCTTTAAGCTCCAGCCAAAAACAACCTCACTGTAATTTTAACTAGAACTTGACATTAAATTTATATCAAGAAGTTTCACTATATAGTTAATGTAGTCAGTGTGCCAGAATAAAGCTTACTGCCCAGTAACCTGTGAGCAAGCAGAATGAAATGAGTAAAAACATTGATGTCATTATTTTACTATGTAAATTAAGAAATGAATGTTAAAATTGCCTTTACAAATCCCATGTGACATATGTGTCAAATCTAAATATTAGAGCAAACAATAAAATCTAAAAATTTCTATCATACTCACTTAGCAAATGCAGGTATCCGGTTTAAACCAGAACAGGGTGTGAGGTCAGACAAATGTCATTTTCTTTACTGTGTCTGAATGAATCTCTGTTTTTGCATCAGGACCAGTATGGTTTTCACAACAATAAGTTGAGTAAACTCACTTTCTGTCAAAGCTCAGACTGAGATTTGGGTTTGGTCAGATTTCAGATTCAGCTCTAAACCTGAAACTCCAGGTCAGAAACTGGATTATGTCTTAGGAATGTCCTCACAAAGATACTTATGTAAGTCTGTGCACATTTGTGTGTGCATACGTATGTGCGTGCACGTGCATATGCATGTGTGTGCATATGTGCACATGTATGCATGTGTACATACGTATGTGCGTGTGTGCATACGTGTATGCGTGTTTGTGTGTGCGTGTTTGTGTGTGTACATTTGTGCGTGCATGTGCATATGCATGTGTGTGCATGCATGAATGTTTGTGCATGTGCGTATGTGTGTGTGCTTACGTGTGTACGTGTTTGTGTGCGTATATGTGTGTATGCGTGTGTGCAAGTGCAGACAATTGAATCAGTGACTCTTAGTGCCACATTTCCACCATTTGTCTCCCTTGGAAACGAGAGAGAGAGAGAGACATAAAACCCCAGAGCAAACAGGGGGACATCTGGACCCGTCTCTTCCTCTTTCCTCCCCTCTTCAAGATTCTTCTCTCCTCCTCTGTCACACCCCCCTCTGACATCCTCCTCTCTCCTCCCTTTTCATCCCACTCCTCCTCCGCTCTCCCCATCACTCTCTAGGGGCCATCAATCACAGTGGCGATGACTGGGCGTGCGGCTGGCCTGTAGGTGGTCATGCTGACGGCAGATGGCTCTTTATCGCTGGAGCCCTGGCCTCTCCATGACAACCACGGAGAGCAGGAAGTGACACATCCAGCCGAGTGGAGAGCGATTCATCTGGACAGGGGAAAACCCACACATTTACTTGTACTCCTACATTTGTGGGGACCCATGCTGAGCTGGTTCTCCTTACATTACTCTTATTTATAACTGGAACCTAAGCAGTAATTTTAACCCTAGAATATAATCCTATGGTCTCATTTTGGTTCTTACAAAGATCAGAATGTGGTGAGAGGAAAATGTACACACAGGAGAGAAGCAGATTCAGCATCTTCTTAGTGTGAAAGGGCATACCTTGAGAGTGCCAAGTCCAAAACCCTGCTTCCTCACATCTACCTACAACCTCTTGATGGAACTTGGAACTTGGGGAAAATCTTCGGCAGACTGATGAGAAAAAAGTAGAACTTTCTGGAAGGTGTGTGTGTCCTGTTACACCTGGTGCATCTCAGAAAAGCACAGCAACAGTCAGATGTGATGATGGTGGTGGTGTGATGGTCTGGGGCTGCTGCTTAAGGACCTGGACCAGAAAATCCTGAAAAACATTTGACCGTTGACCTTCAGTTGGCTTTTTCTTTACTCTGGTTATTTTTGTCAGAAAATGTAAAAAACAGAAGACACGTTTTTAGGGAAGGAAGTCCGTTTTTACAGCGCCATATTTCTAAGTTTCTAGGAGTCACACATGTGGGATCAATCAAGCGCACAGGCTGGCGGGTTTCAGTTCTGGATTATTCTCAGCTCTACAGAGTGTTGAACAACAAGGGTGGATATTCGCTAATCTAAACGAATTAATTACAAGTTATTTGGCAAAGCAGATCTTGTCAGGATGCCGAGATGTGGTGTATGGTGGATAAAGACAGAGCTGCTCCTTGCTGACGGTCCCTCTGGAACAACTGTGATCATTCTACTCTCTGAGGTTGTATAAAAATATTTTAAAAACTACCAAGGCTTTAAAAAATCTGCCCACGTTTGTATTCTTCAGAATAACCAGATAATAATCAGGTAAATTAAAGATTTTTTTCATCTAATTCCTGGAAAGAGAAATGAGGAAAGAGGAGACTACATGTTGGGTCTGTGTCTCAGCAGTGTGTGTTTTATGGGGCGGCTGGTGGATGTCACGTCCCACTTCCTCCTGCAAGGCGATTAGACCAGACGTCTTGTCTGTCTCTCACACACACACATTCTCCGTTACTACTTATGTGAGGATATAATGGACCGATTCTGTCCATGATGTTGCATCTTCCAACCAAAGTAACACAGCTACTCCATATAAAAGATGTTGGTCTGACGATCAGAGAACGATGGCTGTAGCAGGACATAAAGAACTGTAATTTAGTCAGTTAAATTCTAACATCTCATCAAAACCCATCAGCACCTATCATTAAATTGAAATACAAGGAAAAAGTCTTTAATGTCAGGTGCCTAAACTACAGTGAGGAACATTTTAAACTATTGTTTTTATTTCAGGGCTGCATGGAGGTACCACTGCTGCCTTGTAGCATGAAGGTTTCAGTTTTAAGCATGTTTGACCCGGATCATGAGAGAATGTGTTCATATTTTCTCCTGTTTCACCTCCACTTGACCCAAGGTCACATTAAAACCATCTCACCCTGAATGACCACACCTACATCAAACCAGTTTGGTTTATTCAAACTAACCGGCTCTCTTTACCTGGGCGTCACAGAAGTACCTTTATTGAGTTTACAAATTTAAATCAAGAAATGAGGTTACTGGGTTCATACCAGTAACTGTTGTGAGCTACTGGTTTGTGTGTTTCAGGCCACAGGAGAGGCTTCTGTTTAAGGTGATTGTTATATTATTAATAAAGATGGTTTTTAATGATCAATATAACAATTATGCAAATTTAAATGAGCAAAACTGTAAAAAGCTGGATGCTTCAACTCTTTAAGCTCTAAGAGACAACTCGATTATAATTTTTAAAACCTGGTGAACCCCAGAAATGATTTCTTCTTTGAAATTTTAATAGATTAATGCAAAATTTTCCCTATAGATTTACATTGAAATCTGCGATAAACACATAAAACAGAAGTCTGATGCTTTTTCAGGAGCAGGATAAACCTGAGAGGTAATCTAAGTAACATCAGGACAAATCAGACTGTCCTCAAAAACCGGACTAAGACCCTGCAGAGCGTCTGTAAGAGACTGGAGGACAGCGGATCAGCAGCGTCATCTCATCTGATGAGTTTTATCAGAGAATCAGATAAACGGCAGCAATCCAGCCCACAAAAGGATATTTTATGTCCTTTTTTCTCCATTATTTTTTTTTAAAACAACAGAACGAATAAAGACCATAACATAAACAAAATTAAGAATCAAAAGATTTTTGTGGCTTTAACCTGAAAACGGATCAGGTAGTTAAAAAAAAAACCATACCACCACTCACACGGAGGCCAGTTATAAATAATGACACGAGCTAAGGGTTGGTTTCCTAGGCGAATATCATGATTCACTTTTATTAAAAGCATCATAGCTACAATTCATCATACATGATGTCTCAAACAAACAAATACACAAACCAAAAGAAAAGAAAAACAAAAAAGGAAAACAAAAACATTTACATGGTATGTCTGTAAACTTCAAGGCTAGATAAGAATTTTGAGGTAATGCTCTTCAGCTTGCTGGCTAAAAGTAACAAAATGTCCTTTTCTCAAGAAAAGTAGCTAATAAAGGTACCTGATTATTTACTCTTTAACACCAGTGCATCAACAGGAACAGAGTCAGACAAAACTAATTGCAGTACGCATTTGCCGTCATTTATGGTTTAGATTTCTATTTATACGACACTTGTGGTTATTCGTGTGTGTGTGCGTGTGTTTCAGGAGAGTGATGCTGGAACATTCAAGAGCTGCCTCGGTTATTGCTGTCTCAGCGTTGGAGGAGATTGGGAACTTGTCTCCAGGGAACCAGAATCCACCTCCTGTCCTCCGACACACTCCTCTTCCTGCGTCTGACGGCTGGGATGTCGAAACGCTAAGAAGACCCGGCCACAGCGTGTGTGTGTGTGTCTTTGAATGTACTTTCAACAATCTGAACCACTTGTAGCACTTGATTCTGAAACTGGCCTTAGGGAAAACAAATCAAGCACCGCTCGCTCTTTTCAAGTATCTAAAACTGACTCAGCGAGCAGAATCGGACTTCATGTGGAATTTGCGTCCAACTCAGTAGAAAGCGTGTCTCAGTCCTGTTTGGTGCCAGGCCTGGTGTCAGTGTGTGTGACTAGAGCAAAAGTCTTTAAAGAGAAGGTCACTGGGGAGCAGCACTACCGGGATGTGAAGGGAATACGAAAAAGATCCGACTGTGGCAACGTCTGGGGAATAAAATAACAAATATATAAATCTTATGTGCCGCCTTTAAAGTATTAACCTGAAGCATCACATCCCTGTGTGGACCTCCATTCCAGATTCATTCAGAGGCCCCTGAACAAGCGCGGCCGGTTTCGGCGGCGTGAAACAAACCAATCAGAAGGCCTGACTGGCGGCGGACCCAGCCCGCCTGGAACTCCGTTTAACCGAAAACCAGCCGCCTCGAGAGGCGAGTGACTCAAACGTGGCAGTAGAAAAGACCGGACTGGTATTCAGTGTGGGACTGGGTTAACAGTAAGGACTCAGCGTGCACACACACATACACTCAAATGGGAACAGTCACATGACCTTAGAAAGGGGTTTAGTGTGTGAGTAGTGGTAGACACCTGAATGTGTGTGTGTGTTGCTCACAATCATGTGCTGGGATGTGTGTGTGTGTGTGTGTGTGTGTCAGTCCGGTTTGTGTTCCTCATCAGCCTACCTGGTCTGATATGTGAGAACTTAAAACAAAAAACAAACAAAAACAAATGTGCTCTGAAAAAGAGCAGCTCTATCAACTCCATTACCCACAATTCCTTTTGCAGCAGCTTCTTCAGACAGACAGCCGGGTTAGCTGTAATGCTGTTACACTTTTGAGAACTGATGGTGGAAAGAAGCACCGGCGACGGCGTTTCTCCTCCGTTTGATGAGACGCTGCCAACAACGGAACAGTCCAGACAAAGAAGGAGGCTAATGAAACGACCCGAGAGCTGAAAGCAGCAATAATAATAATATTAATAATAATAATAATAGCACTATCGGAAACATGTGAAGTCCTATTTTGAGGGATTGTGGAGAAGAGAAGAGTGGGCACACAGTTCACAGCCCACACGGGCCAACCGGAGAAAGGAACAGTCTTTGAAGAAGAGCCGAGCTCTGAGCGAGCAGCTGACGGGTTTCCCTGACTACACTATCAATCAGAGAGATTTAACTTAACACAAACACACCTGGTCCTCTCTGACGCGTCGTAAAAACACCTGGCCAAACAATAAACAACAAAGAGAATGATAACTCATCGTCAAAAGGAAAACAAAACCTAAAGAATAATAGTTTGGATATTTCTGTAGGAGGCGTGTAAACGTGCTGAGGGGAGGTCAGAGGGAGGAAATGTTCAAGGCTGGTCCGTTTGGGGCTTTACTTCAGTCACTTGTTCCCTTCTGAGGAGACACTGCTGCTACTGCCTCCTCCTCCACACCTCCTTCCTCTAGAGCTGGAGGATCAGCCTCTCCTCCAGTCTCTCCCCCTTTCTCAGCCAAGTCCCTTCCTTCACACTCCTCCTCTCCTGCAGATTTCATGCTGTCCTTCTTGTCCTCATCCTTGTCTCTCAGAGGATTCGGGGTGGAGGCGCTGTCCCCCATCGCTCCAGCCATGGCACTCTGCAGCTCAGCAAGGGTGGAGGCTGTGGCAAATCCTGGCAGGCTGAGTCCTCCGAGGCCTGGGGGGAGGAACATGGAGGGGTAGAGGAGGCCAGGGGCCATGGTGGAGAGGAGGAATGGGTTAAATGCCAGGGAGTTGGCGGACATGCCCGCTGCAGCCAGCAGGGAGGCGGTGTCCCCGTTGATGGACACCTCTGCTGACAGATCAGTAGCTGATATCTTAGAAGCAGCTGTGACATCACTGGCAGGTTTTTCCAGTTTCTCTGAACCTTCCTCCCCCTCCCTCTTCTTGGCCTTCTTCACTCCCTCCTCATTCCCCTCTCCCCCCTCGTCCTCCTCTCCCCCGTCGTCAAAGTCTTCTCCCTCTTCCTTGTCTTCCTCCTCCTCCTCTCTCTTTCTCTTTGTCCTCACCTCACCGTTACCTCCCTCTCCTCCTGCCATGCCGTTGGTGTTGACTGCAGCAGTGGAGACGGAGTTGGACGCTGTAGAGGCAGCAGCGGCCGCGGCCAGGTTACTGCCAAAGAGCCCTCCAAGGCTGAACATGTTGGGGAGGGCGGCAGCCATGTTAGGCAGGCCTCCCATACCAGGCAGCATAAGGGGCAGCATGGAGGCAGCCTGCTTGGGGTCAGCAGGAGGGAAGGCCATCAGACCAGCGGCCAACTGCAGAGACTGGAGGCTCTGGAGAGAAGACAAGTCCATCCCTCCAAACAGACTGTTCAGCAGCAGAGGATTGATGCCTCCTGCAGACAAAAGTTTCAACTCAGTTTCTCCTCAGCCTAAAAACAAACAGCTGACACATCTCCTGTCGGAGACACTTACCTGCAGTGGAAGCAGTTGTGGCCAGAGACGCCTGTGCAGCCTGGGCAGCGGCGGCTGCCTGAGCGGCTGCAGCTGCTTTTACGATCTCAGATTTAGGCCGCCGCCCCCGACGACGCACGCCCTCTTCTCTGACTACAGGACCTGTCAGAAGGCGGTCAAACATGGCTTCTGGGAGGAACCCCTATCAGGTGGAGAGATTAAGTGTCAACAGCTGGAACAGCTGGTGAATCCAGAGGAGGTGAAGTTTCTTTTTTACTTACAGACTGTTTGACTATGTCAGTCCAGTCAGGAGCAATGGAGAACTCTGGGTTCTCCAGTAACCACCTGGGAAGCTCCTTCATTGGAGGAGCCATGGCACCGCCCATCTGAACAGGGGGAAGATGGGATTAGTTTTATATGTAGAAGTAATCCTAACACACACCACAGATGTTAACGGGGCATTTACCTTTCGTCCATTTCGTCTGTTGACCACAGGCACCCTCTCCTCCCCAGTCAGGGTGTTTATGTCGATCTTGTTTGGGTTTCGACAGCGATGACGCTTTTGTTTGGGTTTGGAGAACTGAGAGAGCAGCAACTCCTCGCTCTTCTGTGGGGAGAAAAGTGGCGGGAACATGTTTAACCGCAGGCAAGTGTCAAAGAATCATCGGCTTAGCTTAAGATAAAGATCTATATAGTAGATGAGGGGGAGGCTTTACTGGTGTGTATCCAGGCATGTCCATGGTGTAGGTCGGGTGCTGCCTCAGCCACTCTCCCAGATCTTTGCTGGAAACAGCAGCCTCCTCCTCCTCCAGGCTGCCAGAGGTCAGAGACCTGGCGTTGGGGCTCTGCTCGGGGACACTGAGGGGTCTGTGGGAATGGGTGGCCTCATGAACCCCCTCTACACCAGAAACCTTTGTCCCATCAGCATCCTCCTGCAAATGTTTCCCATTGAGACGATTACTTTAGTGTCCCACTTAACAGCAGAGTGGATATGAGGAGTGCTACATACCCCTCCCGCTCTCTTGTTGGCCATAAACAGCAGCTCTAGGCCCTCCACATTTTTCCTACGGCCCCGCCTCCTCCTAATGATGGGCAGGTCAGCTTCCAGCGAGCCGTTAGCTCGGTGTGCAGAGGGCGGGACTTGCTGAAGCAAATCCATTTGGGCTTTGAGGGAGGGGGTCGTCACCAAGGCACTGGGGAAGCCCGTCAATGTGGGAGAAGCCTTGTGGTGATGGTGCACACCCTGATGGAGAAGCAACACCAGCTTCAGTAAATTCACCAAAACCATCAACACTTACCAGCTGGACTGAGGGGTTACTGGGGCACCTTAGTGAGGTCTATAGCCTGATTCTGAGATTCTGCAGCAGCATGGCTTTCTCTCAGCTGAGCCACCATCTCCATCAAGTTACGCCTCTTGGCCGCTCTCTCCGCCTCGATCTCAATCTTCTTCCGTCTCCTCCTCCTCTGCCGAGGCACCGTCAAACTCAGAGCCTCCTCCTGTAACAGCGGGTCAACAGTTACTCATCTGGCTGAGTGACTCAGACTAAGCGCCGATAACAAAGAACCCAAACACTCACACGAACCTGCAGTGACCGCGTTTTATCCTCACTCCCACTGTACGGCGTATGGAGACCAGCCATGGCCAGCTCGGCCAGGCTTCGCCTCTGCAGCGGGCTCTCGCTCATCATAGCTACAGCCGCCGTGGTGGCTGTGGACCCATGACCCGGTAAGATGTTGCTAGGGAAGTCAAAGATGTGGCGTCTGTTGACCGGCCACTTGCCCTTCAAGACTGCGTCGCAGATGTTATCCAACCTATTGATCATCACTCGGTCCTGAGAGGTGGAGAAAACGGTGGGAAAATTCACTTTATTCGGCACAATTCTCACATCTAACTGCAGAGCTCGGTATCTTCTAAAAAAATCAACTGAAATTGTAGAGGGGTTTCCATCAGTCCTTTCAGAAATTTGTAGTTTTATCCTTCACAGCTATAACTGCTTTAATTTAAAACAAAACACCAAAGACCACTGATGACGGACTGATGGTCTGACTCACTTTAGGCCAGAACGAGAAGCCGTAGGTTCGTTCCTGCAGAGCCTGGAGAGCAGATGTTTCAGTCAGGTCGTCAGCGCAGAAACCATCTCGGGTCTCGTCTCGAACTGATGTGCTCAGAGAAGCAATACTCTCCTCATCAAAGTTCTTCTGCTCTGTGCTCGCTAGACAGGAAGAACAAGTCACATTGCAACCCTTAAATAATAATAAAAAAAATTCGTCCAAATAGTTATCAAGGGATCCAGTCTCATTTTATTCTCTTCTTCTGGAGCTAACGCTCATTAAAACATTGACGAGTCACAAGGGGCAACACCAGAAATAGAACCGTAACAGAGTTGGGGTCAACGATTCAGGAGCACGTGACCAAAGGAATGAACAGCTACATCGTAAAGCAGTACGATATTAACCCATGGCTCTTTATCTCTCCTGCTAAATAAATTCAGAACTCAGATATAAAGCAGATACCTTCAGCCTGAGAGGATTTCTCCGATTTGTCGTCCTCATCCAGCCTCTCCTCCTCTTCCTCCTCTGGGCTCTTCAGTGTGTCTGCAGACTTTGGAGATTTAAGAGACTCTGGAGCTTCCCTCTCCTCTCCATCTTCCTCTGCAGTCTTGGGGCCCGGCTGTGCATCAGGAGAGGAGTCTGGGAGTCCTGGAGGCACGACTTCAGTGTCATTCTGGATGCTCAGACAATCTTTAGGACATGAGCTACTTTTCTCCACGGTCAACTCTTTATTTTGGTCACTGGTTAAATTCAAGCTCTTGTCTTCTTTACTCTGCTCCTCTGCTTCAGCTTCTACCTTTGGCAGGACTTCTGTTTTAATCTCCTTAATCGGTGATCCAACAGTCTTGTCCGTCACTTCTCCATCCCCTCCCTCGTTCTCTTTTACTTCAGTAAGGGTTTCAGTCTTGGTACTTGGAATGATGTTGGTGTCTTCTCCCGCTGTTTCCATCTTTACCTCCATTTGTAGTTTACCCTCCTCTGGCTTCACCTCCTTCACATCATCCTCTTCCTCTTCAGCTGCATCAACAGCCATTCTGGCAGCAGCTGCAGCACTTGCTAGCTCTGCAGGAGTGAGAAGTGGAGCAGAGGTGGTTTCTAAAGATGCCAACCCAACTCTGATGGGCTCTCCCATGGCTCCCATGCCAACGCTGGCCCCTCGCTGACTGGTGTGACGCTGGTGGGCCTCCAGAAAGCCCAACGTTGGGTCATTTAGGATATGGTAATCTGTACGGCTCACACCATGCTTGGAGGCCCCCAGGAGGAGGTCGCGATCATGGCGCCCACACTCCCACCACTCTGGGAGGTCTGGGGAGGGTTGACAGAGCTTGAGGCGCTCAGTCAACAGCGGGTGAGGAAGGACCTGCTCTCTGATGCGGCGGAGAAGTTCAATGCGGTAAAGCGTGCGAGAGGCACGCTCCTCTGTGATGGGGTCAATAATCAGAGTTGGGTCTGGAAGTTCTGAGAAAAAGCATTAAGACTTCAGTGAGACTAACAAATCAAAGTTATTTATTTTCCTGATTATCATCAAAAAGGAACTTCTGCTTTTAGGCCCCATGGAGCATCTAACCTGTTTCAGTCTTGACCTGCATCCTGCAGACCCGCTTACACATGGCGATGAAGGAGTAGTAATATTTCTCCAAACTCTCGTCAGTTTTTTTGTCCAGTCGGGCGAAAGCTCTGAACTGAGTCCAATCAAACCTCTGACGCTTGGTGTCAAAAACGACTCCAAAGGTGGAGATGACTCGATAGAAATCAGCCTCCTCCCGACGTGTCCATCTGAGAAAGGCAGCAGGTTTCATGATTGAATGTTGCATTAGTTTAAAAGTTCATTTTCAACACAGAACCAGTGAAACGAGCATTTATTAAATGTTAGCCTACCTTTGTCTCCTCTCTTTATAATACATGACTCCTTCAGACATCAGAGAACTGGCGGTCATCACCGGCGAAGCCTCTGGCATGAACTGACCACTCTTGGCAAAGTAGGCACCTCCTTTAGCCAAATATGGGCTTCCTTCTGTTATGAACATCCCTGAGCCATCTTGGATGAACGTTGCTCCACCTCCGGTTTCAGGAACCATGGCGATGGAAGGCAGGAACTCCCTACGTCGCCGGCGGCGACCATCGGGTCTGCTGAGTGCCTCCTGGCGGAGCTGCTCTCTGCGGTTGGAGCGTTGGTAAGCCGTGATTAGACGACGCAGCCGAGCTGTCAGGGCCGAGGCTGCTGGCCAATAGAGTCGCTCGTTTGAGCCAGAAGCTCCGCCCAATGTTGGTGCACTTAGACCATTTTCGCCTGATTTAACTACAGAAACAGGAGAAGATGCTTTATTAGTGTCATCTGGACCAGTTAATGATCATTCAATGGAGACGAGTTGTCCTTTGAATCAAAACACACCCGACCGTCCGACCTGTAAAGCATCTGATTCGTCTAAAAAGTGAGTTTAGGCATTTAACGAGTCTAAAGAGGAAACCATTTACGGCAACAGTTATTCACACTTAAATGATTCTCTTCCCTATATGTACTTGAACATCTTTCACTGTGTGTGTGTGTGTGTGTGTGTGTGTGAGCATACCTTCAGTCTCACCCTCCACAGCATCTTCTTTGTCATCCAGTGGAGAGTTGGTAAAGTCGTCCATGTCGTCCTTAAAAGGCATCCGCAGCGGTTTGTACTCTGGATCTTCATCCTCACTAAAGAATTTTAGGAATAAGAGGAAATAAAATAATTCCTCTGCAAAATTAATCCCAGTTTATTAGTTTGCTTTAAATTAAGCCGTTTCTGCAGAGCATCACATTCAGACAAAACCAAAAGGATGGTTTTTGGTGAGTGTGGCCTGCTGTCTCACCCTTCAACACCATCTGCCATCATGTCAGCGCCCCTCTGCTCAGCGGCGATCGCTTTGGCGTCTGGCATGCCCACTCTCTCCAGGAAACACAGGGCAGGATCAGCGCGCATGGAGTTGTACTTCTCATAGCCTGCAGAGACGAAGAATACAGACACCTTGACACGATGTTTGGAGGAGTAACCAGTGCAAATGTTTATAGAGTGCATTTAATAAATAAGGAAAAGGACCTCTGAGGTAGCACATCCATCAGAACAATAAATACAGTATCTGATTACAAAGATAACAGTTTTGGCCCGACTCTGTAGCAAATGCTACGTGACAAATATGATCTGAAACATGTTTACATAAAATAAGGCCTCCCATCTGTAGGGATTTATTTGTTTCAAACTCCTAGAAAGAAGGCTCCAAACAAGTTGTGCTTTCTGGCTGACTGGTAGAAAGACGAAAGCTAGAGTCAAACACATGCATATACAGCATCCATAATACATGAAGGAATAGACAAAAACAGCAGCAGAAGGGCAGACCCCAGGAGCCAGCTGCTGACAAGACAGTGTGTGTGTATGTGCGCTTCTGCACGTGCGTGTATGTGTGTGTGCCGATCTAAGTGAGCCTGCAGGTGCTTTTTTGTACCAGGGAAAGATGGGGGGAGGAAATGAAAGGAAAAAAGTAAAGTGTGTGTGTGTGTGTGTGTGTGTGTGTGAGAAAGAGAGCCACTGAGTGTGAGAAAAGCGTGCGTGCTTGTCCGTTAGGAGCATTCAGGCAGAACAGATTAGAATGTGCAGATCCTACTGAGACATGTCGGGAAGAAGAGGAAAATAAAAAATAAAAAAGGGAAGGAATGAGAAGAGAGCGCGGGTGAGGAGGAGAAGATAAAGGAAAGAAGAGGAGAGGGGTGGGATGGAGTAAAACAACCACTCCGCCTCTTTAACCTTTTGCCCATCCTTCATTCCACCCTTCTCTCCATTAGACTTCCATTAGGAAACACGTAACGCATCGCTCCTAACCGTCACTCCGTCTTACCGCTCCGCGCCTGCAGCCAAACGTTAATCATCAGGACCTTTATAGGCCATCACTCTTCTGTATGTGCGAGTCCAGCATTGTTTTGTGTGTCTGCACACAGCCCGGTGAGACAGTGTGTGCTAGTCCCCTGAAGGGCCTCCCTGGCGAATAAGGATTATGATTAAGAACGGGCAAGCCCTTTTGTATTGCTCTGTGTGCGCTTGTGTGTGTGCGCGCACCCTAATTGAATCATAGAAGGTGGCAATGATGGAAAAATTATGACAATTATGCCAAATTAATATGAATGAGGGTCCCTTTACAAAGCTAACTCACTTTAAACTCGTCTCTCTGCCTCTGGGACAGTCTGCACTCGTCGGTGGGTCACACAGATGACAGAAACGATTGTAATAATGAGCTGGTGGTTAACAGAGAATCAAGATTTTGCTATTTAAAGCCGAGGTTAACTTTGTTTATAAAATCAGCGCCTGTAACAGTGTGTGCTCGCAAATACACACAGCTAGTGGTGAAAACAGCCATCAATCACAACTCCCAACTGCACTCTAAGCCAGCCAGCTGCTACCGCCATCGCCATGGCAACACCAATCAACTGGTGGCAGTGCTAGTGGGTGGTGTGCGCTCGCCCAGTGTGATGCTTACTCTGCTGGAAGCCACTGGAGTGTCTGTGTGTGTGTGTGAAGGTGCTGACATTATCCAAGTGCGCAGTTGCGTGTGAGAGGTGTGTGTCTGTGTGTGTGTTACGGCTGCCACACAGTTAAGTGTGGCTGTGCGTGTGGAGGGTGTGTGTGTTTGTTACCGTGTTTGAAGACGCCAATGAGCAGGGACTTGTCAGCCTCACTGTCCCACCAGTCAGCTGGGACCTCAGCATGGAACGGCTGAGGAATCCAGACGTCCAACATGCTGAGCGGGAGGCAGACAGAGTCATGTTGTTAGACACAGAATTAGACTTTTCTGCTCATTCAGAGCAAAAACAGTTCAAAGTTGCGTGAGATCACAGTTATGGTTTGAAAAACCACATTTTAGTTCCATTTGTGATTGAATTTCACAGTTTGTCCCAGAGCTCTGTCTGCTGTGAAGGTCTGCATGCATTCAGCTCTGTTGCTCACTGCTATTAAGTTATTAACACAATCAGCTGAAGACACTTTCAGCATCATTTTTGGTCACGTAAAATTTGATATATTTGATAATACTGTTAAAATAAGCCATCATTTATAGACCATTTTGTGCTTTAGCATCTCACCACCATCTTCTAAACAGGTCAAGGGCGTCAATAGTAGAGCGAGTCCATTAAGTTACAGCATGCTCCTAGCAGGTGTTAACAGGGTTTTTCCTGAGTATGAGCCGACCCCATCATAACCCCAAACTGGGACAGTTGGGCTGTGAGCTAAGCTTGCTTTTTTTTTTAATTACAAGAGTCCAGTTAAAACCACACATCTGGTTTGATTGTTCATGTAATTAAACTGCTAATTGCTTTCCCGTGAAATTACTCGACTACTACATCCAGGAATCAGAACCTGAAACACATTATTGTGGAAAGGGAATGGTGTTTCCAGCTGGTTATGGAGCACTACGGTACGACACACAATAGGGGCAGAAAGGCGGAGGATGACAGGAGGAGAGAAGAAACCAGGGAAACAGTCCCTTATCTCTGCAAACAGCAGCATGCCTGGCCTTGGCAACACACACACACACACACGTGTGTGCCAAGACTGGCATACTAAATCCCCCTGGCATATGTTGGCACGATGGCACCCCGTATGCTCTTGTCTGGCATGCACTGACACACACACACACACACACACACACAACCTATCACAGTAGCCATTGAAAAGGGGAGGATAAAGGGTTAAGGAGTTGGGGGGGGGGGGGGGGGGGGGGCTTGAGTGCGCGTGCTCCACATTATGAATGCTTTCACATCTGGGTGGTGGGGTGAAAGGGGGATGGGAGGTGAGAGGCTAAAGGGAACTGCAGAGGAAGGCATGGACAGATAGCAAAGAAAGAGTAAAGTGAGCGAAAAAGGTTGAAGCAAAGGGGAAGTTGGCAAAGTGAGCAGCTCATCGAACCTTCGGGCCATCACCGCTGCGGTGTGACGCCTGCAGCCAATCAGCACTGAGAAATAGCTTGTTAAAAACTTTAATATGGGTCAAACTGATAAGAAGTCTTCTGCAGATAGAGTGTGTTGGGCCTGTCAGAATAGGAAGCTTCCTGCCAAAGGGGCCACTAGAACAGACTGAAATACACTTTAGTAATAATTCATCAGATGTTCACATAAACATCTGCTTCTTGGCTTCCAATCATTAGGCATCTAAGACACGAACGTTTCCACAGACTCTTTAGCTGGATTTCAGGAAATTTCCTCGGCTGCACAGGATTGATGTTTTTTTCCTTCAGTAAGAGTCAGGCAGGATAACATTAGTGACTTGAGAAAATGATACGTTAACGTCTTTGCAATAAGGGTCACAACCCCTTACAGCCTCTCTGGGCTTTAACTACTGGCAACTGGTTATAAACAAAATATTCAGAAAGGTCTGATTATTTGATACAACAGAGAGAGATCTGTGTGAGAATCTACTGACCTGGAGTCAGCTCCTTCCAGGATGCGCTCGGCCTGGTCGCCTATGACTTCCTGTCGCAGATAATACAGCATTCTCACTCTCAGCAGAACCCTGGAAAAGAAAACAAAACGTCAGTGCAACATTCTTAAAGCAGCGATATCAAGCATATAAACTTCACCAAGTAAATGCCATAATAAACTACTAAACACAGGACATTCAAGAAATTTGGGATGGCTGATTGTGTTGGTCACTAAAGAATGTCCTGTTATGTAAAAATGAAATTTGTTGCCATGCTGAGAAAACAGTAGAGTCTTTGATGTCCTGACACTGGAAATGCTGCGTTCAGTGAGATTTACTTCACTGTAAATGTTTGTCACCAGATTTGTCACCAGCAAGTAATGGTGTCTGGAGCAAAAAACAGAAGGGGGAAGGAGGGTAGGGTTGAGAGGAAGAGGTGAGTGGGAGGAGCAGGGGGGGGGGGGGGGGGAGAGGGGGAGAATTAAAAGGATGGAGTAGTGCTGGTGGGAGGGAGCAGAAAGTTTGGAGAGGCACTGAAGAGAGAGGGGGGAGGGTATGAAGACAGTGCTGTGCAACTCATTCAGAGAGAGAGTGTGTGTGTGTGTGCATCAATAGCATAACAAGTTGCAGTGTGTGTGTGTTTGTTGGCAGGCTGTGTGTGCTCATCCATCAATGTGCCAGGCCTGATTAGCCACACAACGCTGTGCTCCAGCCTAGCAGATGGCACCACATAATCACCCCCAAGTGTGTGTATGTGTGTGTCTGTGTTTGCATGCATCTTTCACCCACTTCCAACAGGTCTGCCTGCCTAGCACCTGGGCTGGCACACAGCCAAGCGTGTGCACACACTTCTTCAAAAGACGAGGAAAAAAAATATTGAAATTCAATCTGCAGGGCAAGGAGGAATATTTCTCCTGAAAACGGGACAGATCGCTGACCAGTCGTGTGTGTGAGTGAGATGGAGGACAGGAAGAGTGATGTGTGCTGCTTTTTTCTGTGTTTAGTTTAGCTGATTTAATCCAGTGCCTGGTGTTCTGGTTATTCAGCAGCCATTGTGCTTTTCAGGTGAACGTGGGGACCTGACCGAGCCCTACTTGTTACAGTGATGCTTCAGGTGCCTCTTGTAGCTGTCCTCCTGCAGTAAGTGGTCAGGATTGCAGCTGGCCAGCCAATCGGCTCGCGGAGTCTGTGGAACTGGAGACGTCAGCTTCCCCTTCTTGCCCTTTCTGCCCCTGGGAACAGGTGTGGAGAGACCTGACAGAAACACACCAAAGATGTTCAGGAAAATTTTAGTCCAGACTTTTACTGCAGTCACTGTTCACACGTGTTCTTCAGAGCATGGAAATGTTCTGCTTGTGATGAGAGAAGGGTGTGTGTGTGTGTGTGTGTGCGTGTGCAGGGAGCATCTGTCTTCAAGCACACAGGAGGTCTGACATGATGCATGAAGTATGGTGAGGAAATTGGTGGGTTTTCTTTAAGAACAGCAGATGAGGCCCCTTGTTGTGTTGATACTAAAACCACATTTGTCAGTAAGCAGTGAGTGGCGAACAACTCACAGATCAGCAGAACATAGATTTGACCTGTTAAAGATCTTTCTAAGGAGCCCAGTGCTAAATATTCATGAGGTTTGGTGAAAAAGCTGCAGACATTTATGTTTTTACACAGAGCCATCGCTGAACAACTCCAACCTGAGTGATTGGTGAGCGTCTTGGTGGTCCCGTCTTCAGTCGGGGTGATCAGGTCCCAGATGAAACTTTTGATGTTCTCGTCTCCACGGTAATGCAGCAGGCAGTAGGCCAGGAGAGCCCTGCAGATTTTCTCCACATCCGCCTCCTTTAGCGGGCGCTTGAAGCGACCATGAGCCAGGATGTCACTCCACCTGCCCCAACTACAGACGAGAAGAATTAAGACCAGCCCGTGTGCACGTGGGTGTGTAAACATCAGCTTATGTTAAATGCAACGTGACACGAAAACGATAGTCATCATGTTTTATGTTAATTATTCTTTTTACACAGGAACATTTCTGTTGGGTTTACACAACCTAGAGTTATTTTTCATTTTAAAAACTAGCCTGCTGCAGAAGGCTCATTGAATGACCTCAGTTTGAGAAACAGAGATTAGCCAATTACAAAGTATCTCAGCTCAATCCAAAAATTTATTGCTTTTGCTATTTAACAACCTTTCATGGCTGTTCCCGTCAGAAAGAAATGTGCTGGAATTCCCTGACCATTTTCCCTAACCCCAACTAATTTCCATTGCAAATAACTATAGAATTCTATGTAAATAACCGTGTAATGTTAAATTTAAGGTGGTTAAAGTTTAGCAAACAGCATTTACATGAACTGCTGTGAAATCCTTGAGCTGTTTTAAGGTAGCACCTGTGAGGTCAGGATTGGTCTGTTTCTTTAAACTGAGGTTGCTCAGACAGAAGTTTACATTTTAATTATTCATTAACTTCTACTCCTCCTTGAACCGTCACCTTATCGTGGTGGAGGAGTTTGAGTGCCCTAATGATCCTAGGAGCTATGTTGTCTGGGGCACTTAGTGCCCCTGGTAGGGTCTCCCATGACAAATTGGTCTTAGGTGAAGGGTGAGACAAAGAACGGTTCGAAGGATCTTTCATGGCGGTTAAAATGAAGAGTCGGAGTACCCGGCCCGGAGGGTTACCGGGGTCCCACCCTGGAGCCAGGCCTGGGGTTGGGGCCCGTGAGCGAGCGCCTGGTGGCCGGGCTTTCGCCCATGGGGCCCGGCCGGGCCCAGCCCGAACCGGATACATGGGCTCGTCCAACTGTGGACCCACCACCCGCAGGAGGAACATGAAGGGTCCGGTGCAATGCGAATCGGGTGGCAGACCAAGGCGGGAGCCTTGGCGGTCCAATCCCCGGACAAGAAAACTAGTTTTTGGGACATGGAACGTCACCTCGCTGGCGGGGAAGGAGCCGGAGCTTGTGGCAGAGGTTGAGCGGTACCGGCTAGATATAGTCGGACTCACCCCGACACATTGCATTGGCTCTGGAACCCGAGACCTGGAGAGGGGTTGGACACTCTACTTTGCTGGAGTTGCTCCGGGTGAGAGGCGGAGGGCTGGGGTTGGTTTTTTGTTAGCCCCGAGACTCTCTGCCTGTGTGTTGGGGTTTACCCCGGGGGACAAGAGGGTAGCTTCCTTGCGCCTTCGGGTCGGGGAACGGGTCCTGACTGTTGTTTGTGCTTATGGGCCAAATATCAGTTCAGAGTACCCACCCTTTTTGGAGTCCCTGGGACGAGTGCTAGATAGTGCTCCATCAGGGGACTCCATTGTCCTGCTGGGGGACTTCAATGCTCACGTGGGCAATGACAGCTTGACATGGAGGGGTGTGATTGGGAGGAACGGCCCACCTAATCTGAACTCGAGCGGTGTTTTGTTATTGGACTTCTGTGCAAGCCGCAGTTTGGCCATAACGAACACCATGTTCGAACATAAGGATGCCCACCGGTACACTTGGTACCAGGGCAGCCTAGGTCACAGGTCGATGATAGATTTTGTAGTCGTATCATCTGACCTGCGGCCGTATGTTTTGGACACCCGAGTGAAGAGAGGGGCGGAGCTGTCAACTGATCACCACCTGGTGATGAGTTGGATCAGATGGCAAGGGAACATGCCGCGTAGACCTGGCAGACCCAAACGCATAGTGAGGGTCTGCTGGGAACGCCTGGCAGAAGAACCTGTCAAGACGGTCTTCAACTCCCACCTCCGGCAGAGCTTTGACCACGTCCCGAGAGCAGTGGGGGACATTGAGTCAGAGTGGGCCTTGTTCCACTCTGCGATTGTCGAGGCGGCTGTTGCTAGCTGTGGTCGTAAGGTGGCCGGTGCCAGTCGTGGTGGCAACCCCCGTACCCGCTGGTGGACACCAGAGGTTCGGGGAGCCGTCAGGCTGAAGAAGGAGGCCTACAGGGCGTGGCTGGTCTGTGGGTCTCCGGAGGCAGCAGACAGGTACCGGATAGCCATGCGGGGTGCAGCAGTGGCAGTTGCCGAGGCAAAATCTCGGGCGTGGGAGGAGTTTGGTGAGGCCATGGAGAAAGACTATCGATCGGCTCCAAAGAGGTTCTGGCAAACTGTCCGGCGCCTCAGGAGAGGAAGGCAGCAACTCGCTCACACTGTTTACAGTGGGGATGGGGAGCTGCTGACGTCAACTGAGGCTATAGTCGGACGGTGGAAGGAATACTTTGAGGAGCTCCTCAATCCCACCAATGCGCATTCCGAGGAGGAACCAGAGCTGGGAGGCCTGGGGATGGACTGTCCGATCTCGGGGGCAGAAGTTGCTGAGGTAGTCAAACAACTACACAGCGGCGGAGCCCCGGGGGCGGATGAGGTTCGTCCTGGGTATCTCAAGGCTATGGATGTTGTAGGGCTGTCATGGTTGACACGTCTTTACAATATTGCGTGGTCATCAGGGGCAGTTCCTAGGGAGTGGCAGACCGGGGTGGTGGTCCCCATCTTTAAGAAGGGTGACCTGAGGGTGTGTTCCAACTATAGGGGGATCACACTCCTCAGCCTCCCTGGAAAGGTCTACGCCAAGGTACTGGAGAGGAGGGTCCGATCGATAGTTGAATCTCAGATAGAGGAGGAGCAAGGTGGTTTTCGTCCTGGCCGTGGAACTGTGGACCAGCTCTATACCCTTGCAAGGGTGATGGAGGGGGCATGGGAGTTTGCCCAACCAATCCACATGTGCTTTGTGGATTTGGAGAAGGCTTATGACCGTGTCCCCAGGGGCACCCTGTGGGGGACGCTCCAGGAGTATGGGGTGGGTGGCTTTCTGTTAAGGGCCATTCAGTCCCTTTACCAGAGGAGCGTGAGTTTGGTCCGCATAGCCGGTAGTAAGTCGGACCTGTTCCCAGTGAGGGTTGGACTCCGCCAGGGCTGCCCTTTGTCACCGGTTCTGTTCATCACTTTTATGGACAGAATTTCTAGACGCAGCCGTGGTGTGGAGTGTGTCGAGTTTGGTGGCAGGAGAATCTCGTCTCTGCTTTTTGCGGATGATGTGGTCCTCCTAGCTTCATCCAGCTCTGACCTTCAGCTCTTGCTGGGTAGGTTCGCGGCCGAATGTGAAGCGGCTGGGATGAGGATCAGCACCTCCAAATCTGAGACCATGGTTCTCGACCGGAAAAGGGTGGCTTGCCACCTCCGGGTCGGGGGAGAGGTCCTACCTCAAGTGGAGGAGTTTAAGTATCTCGGGGTCTTGTTCACGAGTGAGGGTAGGAGGGATCGGGAGATCGACAGGCGGATTGGTTCGGCGTCTGCAGTGATGCGGACGCTGAGCCGATCTGTCGTGGGGAAGAGGGAGCTGAGCCAGAAAGCCAGGCTCTCGATTTACCGGTCGATCTACGTCCCAATCCTCACCTATGGTCATGAGCTTTGGGTAATGACCGAAAGAACGAGATCGCGGATACAAGCGGCCGAAATGAGTTTCCTCCGTAGGGTGGCCGGGCTCAGCCTTAGAGATAGGGTGAGGAGCTCGGACATTCGGGAGGGACTCGGAGTAGAACCGCTGCTCCTCCGGATCGAAAGGAGCCAGTTGAGGTGGTTTGGGCATCTGGTCAGGATGCCTCCTGGACGCCTCCCCGGGGAGGTGTTTCGGGCATGTCCTGCCGGCAGAAGGCCCCCGGGTCGACCCAGGACACGTTGGAGAGGTTACATCTCCAATCTGGTCCGGGAACGCCTTGGGGTCCTGCCGGAGGAGCTGGTGGACAAGGCCGGGGAGAGGACGGCCTGGAGCTCCCTAATTGGGATGCTGCCCCCGCGACCCGGACCCGGATAAGCGGAGGAAGACGAAGACGAAGACATTAACTTCTAACTAAAAACACTTCAAAATCTGATTTAGACTTTCTCACCTATGCAAACATTTAGCATGCACACACAAAGTAGGGTGGCGTAAACGTTTCCTACATTTCTCACACAAATAAATTGTAAAGATGAGTATAAATAACAAAAAAGGCTAAATTCAATAAAATGTTAGTGAGAGTAGACGAGGGTGCAGGATGTCAGGTGCACAACCTGCAAAAATAAAAATAAACGTCTGACAGTTTCTAACTCTTTGATTCACTCTCATGGCAGCCATGACCTTCATCCATCAACAATATTTACACTTGTCCACATCACGTTGTCGTACAAAATTCAGCCCAGCACAGCAACGAATGCTGGGAACTCATTACACTCGGCTGTTTTAAAAACCAGTCTGCTGACTTAACTATTACTGCCATCTTGGCCAGTGCCACTCAGACAGCCCTGTGTGCGTGTTTTCATGGATCACAGCCTATCCCCCTCATCTCCTCAAAGCTCCACTAGCTGATGTGTCCAGGATTCCTCAAGTTCTCCTATTGAACCGATTTTTAAAAGTCACTTCCTCTCAAAAATTACCGAAGCACGTTATGTTGTCTTTCTTCATTTTATAAGAGCAAGTAAAATGGTTGGTGAGGACAAGGGGGAGGGACAGAGAGAGAGAGATAGGGAGGGAGGGACAGAGAGAGAGAGAGATGGACGATGAGAAAAGATGCGGGCTGAATAGAGACGACAGGCCAAGTCAGACAGTGTGTTTTTGTGTCCTACAGCCCCAGGCCACAAGACTAGACTGTAACAATAACAACGCTGACATCTCACTAGCACCACTGTTCATTCTCACACACACACACACACACACACACACACACACACACACACACACACACACACACACACACACACACACACACACACACACACACACACACACACACACACACACACACACACACACACACACACACACACACACACACACACACACACACACACACCATAAAAATGGAAGGGCTCACCAGATAATCACTATCTGCAGTAAGTATGTCAGACTGAGTGTGTAGTGTGCTCCACTCATGTATGAGACATTTTATACTGGTATTGTGCGCTAGTCTGAGTCGTCTTCCATCACTGTACGGAGCGACAGAGATTAACCACATCTAGATACATAAACTAAAATTCCCCTAGGGAGATTAAAAATTAAATTAGAAATTCAGAATGTGGGGAAAAGGGAAAGTCCATTTAAACAGCGTGTGGGTGTGAGACTATAAAATGAACCATTACATGAATGTGAGCCAAAGACACGTATCCTACTCTTTAGGGCTGCCTCACATGTTCTAAATGGAGCAGCTTACCATCTAAAAGCATGAGAAGGTACACGAGTCATCTGCTGAGGATTTTTTCTTTCTTTACTGAATTATGTTTGTATAGAAATTCAGCACAAGTCCAGGTGATTAACAGAATGACTGACCCGTAGACGAGCAGGTTTTTCTCCACTCTGAAGCACTCGGATCGAGGGTAACCCTGGGTTTTGTCCTGAGGTCGTCGCTGTTTGGTGGAGGGCTTGCTGGGTTCATCATCGTCGCTCTCCAGCTCGGAGAACTCAAGTATTTCATCCTCTTTGACGCTGCTGTAGTGGCGCGTCTGTTTCCTCACCCTCGGAGTGTCGATGACCAGCGTGTTCTGGAGATGAAATCGTAAAAAGACTTTTAGATAGAACTTTTATTGCCAAGATGTTCCCTCATCCGGGAATGTGGCTTTTTACCCTTTTTATTGAGCCCATCACAGATGGCCTGAAACCCACCCTTAACTATATGCAAAGTACCTTCTGCTGTATTCCTCTGAAAGTGCCCATTTGTACATTTCTTGTACAATCTGGCTGCTATGACCAGCGTGAACTCTACAACAACAAGGCATCCTCAGGACCGAAAGTGATTAATTGGATATTTGGCTCTGCTCTTCGATTCAGATAGAGAAATTTGCAATCTAGCTCAAACGTAAACTGGCGTTAATTACGTCGTCTAATGAATTACATTTTTGTTCAATTAATTTGATTTTTTCACTCCCTTGCAATCCCATTAATATGAGCAAACAGGGCAGCAGTTAGTTCCACAATTATCACATAGCTGCAGTCATTTCCATTTTAACATGGCACAATGAGAAATCTCAGGGGAATGGCCCATATTCATGCTCCTAGAGCTGGATTAAGTGATTCAATGGAGGGCTCTCAGCCTTCAAATCAGAGATGTTGTAAAGAGAAGCACGAAATATGAAAAGAAATATCACATCGAGAGGAAATTAAAGCAGGAGAATAAAGATGGAAGTAAGCGAAACATTCCACGTGTGTGCAGGAAAGCGATGGAGGTTGTGTTTCTGTGTGTATCTGAGCCTAAGTGATATCTCTGTACCCTCCAGGCATCTGCGCTGTTAAGTGGAGCTAAGCTGCTTACTCTCTCTCAAACACACATGCACACACACACACACACACACACACACACACATGCACAAACACACACAAGAGCATGGAAACATGGGTAATTAAGGAAGAGAGGAGATTCCCTACTGTCAATATTAATCTCCCTCTTCCTCTCTGTGCTTCCCTCCCGTCCTTTCTGACTCACGCTCCCACTTCGCCTCACATTCGTGCTTCGTCCTTGCATGCACCGATTGCTCTCACAAATTGCCCACTTCGTACGGAGCAAGGTAAATACGAGGCAGCGTTTGTTTTCTAGCTTTATCCCATTTTTCTCAGGGAGGCTTGAGCTCGCAGGTACTCGTATCAACCATAACTGAGCGCGTGTACTGTACCCGTCCATTGATGGCATCCATATCCAGCTCAGCCTTCTTGGCCCATTTCTGCCAGAAGTCTGGATCCTCCAGAGAAATGTCTGTTCGGTTTCCTGTTGCAACAAAGCTGGCCTGCAGACAGAACAAAACACATTTAGATTAAAGCAAATATGGAAAATGAAGAGAAGCAAAAGAAGGCGCAGATTAGACCAGGTGAAGTTTTTGCACCTTAGCAAACGTGGAACCTTTGCCCTCTGACTCGATAGTGATGGTGTGGGTTCGTCTCTGGAGGATCTGGTCGATGTCCTCCTCACAGAATTTGGAGCCTTCGTCCTCCTCATCCATCAGAGCTCCATAGGCTCCCTTTCTCAGTAGGTCCTCTATCTCCTTCTTGGACAACTGCTGGACCTAAACAAGAACTCAGAAGTGTTAATTCCTATTTCTTTTTATAAAAGGGATCAGCTGTGTCATCCAAACATGAACGAAGAGATTTGTTCAAACAACTCACCCCGCTGTTTGCGTTCTCTCGTCCACTCATACTCTGAAGAACGGCCTTGTCAAGCCCCAGCTTCAGACTGGCCTTGTCGAACATCTCCCTCTCATAGCTGTTCCTGGTGATCAGACGGTAGATCTTGACGGACTTGGACTGGCCGATACGATGACACCTCGCCTGCGCCTGGTGAAACAACAACACTTAGTTTTGAGGTGATTTGCGACTAAATCCCTATTCACCCTGAGTCTAACTGTGGCTGATTACGTTCCAACATTCAGACGGTCCCGAGAGCCTACCTGAAGATCGTTCTGAGGATTCCAGTCAGAATCAAAAATGATACACGTATCTGCTGCAGTCAGGTTGATGCCGAGTCCACCGGCTCTGGTACACAACAGGAAGACGAAACGGTCCGAGTCCGGTCTGGAGAAGCGATCAATGGCCGCCTGTCGCAGGTTACCACGAACTCTACCATCTATCCGCTCATATGGATACCTGCACACAGAGAGTGTGAACCACACTGGTGTCTTTCCGCAGAGCAAATTGAAACTGTGAAAAGAGGTTTTGGGCTGACTCTGTGGAGCGCTTAAGGTTTGGTCTGAGGTTACATAATCCACAGTGCTCTGATGGAAGCGACTATGCTAGAAAAACATTTACAGAAAGCTCAACACATCCTGACATCTCTTCTTCTTCCTTATCAGCAAAGCTCTGTGAATACGTAATAATTATGAGTCAGATGATGACAGTTAGACTCGCATAAACCCGATTATTAAATATAAGCAGGACGTCTGCTGTCTTAGCTGACTGCGTCACATCAGTCAGTTTTTTTCACAACGTAACCTCAGATAAAAAAAACCTTTAAAACTTAGTTATCCATCTTATCTTTAAGGGTTTCAATCATGCATCTAATGAGAAAGCCTGATAAAATTAATTATAATTTGCATTTTTTTTAATTCTGCACAAAGACTAACCGATGCTAAAGATTTCTCCCTCCCCAAAATATCCAACTCTAACAAATAATGAAACTATTTAGTGACTTCAGAGGCGAACCCTTGCTGCCGTTAATGAAAGCAGGTTAGTTTTTATTCCCACCGTTTCTGAATGAGGTAATCCTCCAGAATGTCCAGACAGCGAACCATCTGACTGAAAATCAGGACTCGGTGTCCACCGGCCTTCAGTTTGGGCAGCAGCTTGTCGATCAGCACCAGTTTACCGGCAGCCTGGATCATGGCTTGAAGACCCATCTCAGGAAAGTCCGTCCTACCAAAGTGAGAGTCCCTGAACTCCTCAATGATCTTCTCCTCCGCTCCTGCACAAAAATACGACCGTTACCAACCGGGATGGTGTTTAGTCGGGTTCTCCTTTAGAAGAGGGAGTACGCACCGTTAATGAGGTAGGGGTGATTGCAGCATTTCCTTAGCTCCATCATGGTGTTGAGGAGGTTAGGAACATTAGCTCCCCCCCCTCCTCCTCCTCCTCCTCCCCCTCCACCTGCACCTCCTTTGGAGAGGAAGGAGAAATTCTTTTCCAAAATGGCCCGATAGTATTTCTTCTGGATATTTGTCAGCTCCACCTAACAAAGAGAAGATCAGAGAGTTTCAGTAGATGTGACCTCTAGAGAGTGTGTAAAGTTGGTCCAGTTAGCCTAAAGAGAAGTGCTGGGAGAGTAATCCTACCTCGATGATGGTCTCCTCCTTGGGGGCAAGATTTTTTTCCACATCCTCCTTCAGTCTTCTCAGCATCATGGGCTTCAGGATGCCTTGCAGTTTCTGGACCTAGTACAATTTTTTTTTATTATTGCAACAGAAACGTTTGGGGAAAGTGGGAATTTTTCTACTTTTCTTCTACTAAATTTCCAGACTTGGCGAGTGCCTGTTACCTGCTCTTCAGTCTTTAGGTCTCCAAATTCAGTCATGAAGGTCTGTTCAGATGGGAATCTCTCAGGTTCCAGGAAGTTAAGTAAGCTAAAAAGCTCCTCCACCGTGTTCTGAAGAGGAGTTCCTGTTAACAGAACTTTGTGCTCCTGAATGGGGAAAGCAGGAGACAGGAAGCAGATGTTTAGAGTTTCTAAAATTAAAACCAAGATACACATATACAGTAGTACAGAAACAAAGCAGACGTTTACAAACATTCTGACATTTCCACAGACTTCCACTCACCATATCCATCATTTTGAGTCCCTCCAGTAGTTTGCAGTTTCGGTTTTTGAGACGATGGGCTTCGTCGATCACCACACAGCGCCATGGGATGCTGCGAAGCTCCGGACAGTCGGCGAGAATCATCTCAAATGTCGTTATCACGGCATGGAAACGATACACGCCCTTTATTACCTTACCCTGAAATGATGTATGAAGAGTTAGAGAAGAAGAATGAAGGTCAATGAGAAAAAGACATCCTCATTAATTATCTCATGTAAGAAAGACTTTGCTCCTCCAGATCAAAAATAGACATTCAATGAGAGCCCCACATTCAGGACATTTCAATAAGAAGCAGAGAATTCTTCTGCTGTCATCAAAGAGCCATCAACTGCAATTTTATTAAAATCTGGTTATTCAAGTTTTTTTCTAAAGCTGGATTTGGGTAGCGTTATCTTGACTGCTGAAGCTCCCCTCCATTGTACCACACTAAGAAAACTATAAAGAGGTTAAATGAATGAACAAATAAAACATTTCTGAGCTTCTTGTTAGCTCTTATTTCCTGTAGTGAACATGTGAGGAACCAAACAACCTCTAATGTACCTGCAGTCCAAAAATAGCTTAATAAATAAGTTACTCTGCATTGAACTCTCTAAAATGTCCAACTGAATTAAAATCTGTGTAGAAATATCCCCTTTACTTGCTGCAAACGGGAGACTACAGCAGATAGGAGAAAAAAAATCCCCTTTCCACAATTTCAAGGGGTGTTTCTCAATGTCAAGGCGCCTGGCCTTGCGAAGCGATGTCTTGCGAGGCCAGGCGCCTTGCTTACGAGGACACTGTCCTTTGGTCAAAGAAAACTGTTAAATGGTACAGACTTGCATCACGCGACCGCGGCTTCTACGGCGGACACGTAAAGTCACGTGACACAGGAGATAACGTTATATTTTACACGTATTAGTTTCAATATAAATATATAACAAGCCTTTTACTTTTTAAATTGTGTGTATGTTTATTAAATTAAAAATATAAGTGAGTTACTACCCGCTAGCCACCGAAGCTGCAACTACTAAGCAACTAACCATCCATAGATAACTTCTTTGAATCTTAAAAAAACGTTTTTAATTAGTTGACTTACTTTTAAACTTGAAAATTGTCCCCGAAGTAGCTGCCGGCTTCTGATCCGCCGTCTTTTTGGAAATACCGCGGTGTATTGTGGATAATTTTTGACCAAAGCTAGGCTACAGGACACCTCCCGTGTATCTTCGCTCAGCTAGCTAAACGGCTAACAAACGGAGAACACACGCCTTGGTAGAACACGAACATTGGAACCGACTGGAACACGTCTTGGCGGCTCCTGATGACGTATCTCCTAGGCAACCAGGGCGGGGCCAAGACATCAAGGTAAGGCTCCTTGACATTGAGAAACACCCAAGGATTACCTCATTGTAGATTAGGAAGGAGCAGCGAGTACACTGCTACCACAGCGTATCGTCACAGAGCTTGCTGTGCTGAAGTGTATACTGAGATGTTTGGAGCATTAAACAATAAGACCTTAAAGTATAACAGCTTACAGCAAGAGGACTGTAAAGAGCTTAAGGAGACCTGAACACCTGCGACAGGCTCAAGAGTTCTTCACAGAGGAGGAGTTCATCTTAATCTTTACAGTAACATAAAATACTACAACGCAAAAACTGCACTAATTCTGCTCATTAAAGACAAAATAGGAATCAAACGGTGAGCTGAATGGTGCAGCGTTTTTTTTTTGCACCTGTGCATCTCTGTAGTGCATCTCGTAGGCCTGAATGGTTTTCCGGCTGGCCTGGCTGCCGTGGTAGACCACCACATTGAGCTCTGTCCAGGTCCTGAACTCCCTCTCCCAGTTGGGAATGGTGGAGAGCGGGGCGATGATCAGGAACGGCCCCTCAATGTTCTTCATGTATATCTCATAGAGGAATGTAATGGACTGGATGGTCTTCCCGAGCCCCATTTCATCAGCCAGGATGCAGTTCCGTCTGCAGAAGACAAAAGATGTGGACAGAGTGAGAGGCTGGAACAGATGGACTTAACATTCTCACCATTTACTGTCACTAAACTGTCATAATCCCTCGTGCTCCAGAGTCAGAGCCTTTGCACACTGGAGCTCTGGTGGTAAATTCCTTCTCTTCTACATGACTGGACTCAACGGGCCTCCATAAACTAAAGATTTTCCCTCCTGGTTTATTAACGCTGATTTTCCAAAGAGGGTGAGTCAGTTTGTTTTCCACTCCGGTGATCTAATAGAAAAAACGTGGGACACAAGTTGGAAAATTCTTGGTAGTGTGTTCTGGAAAAGTTCTGAGCAGATTTCTTGTGTATGTGACTGATAAACCAGAAAATCACACAACAGAGTTTGTTTTTAAACAAAACAAAAGTGCAATGAAACAAACAGATCATTTCTAATCTTCAACTCCTCTGAGTGTGCTCGTCTAAAGCCTGTTAGATCCCATCGGAGCATACATTTTACACATGGATGGCACCAGTGGGAGAGCTCATACAGAAACACAGCACAAGGCCTCTTAACTTAACTTAAATGTCCACTTAAGACAACTTAATGGAGCTCTATTACATGCACTGGCCGAGAGTAGCAGTTAGGGAATATTTCTTACAAAATATACAATTAGTGGTGACTTACGAGTTGTACCAGTTGAAAGTCAGCCAGTTGAGGCCTTCGAGCTGGTATTCCCTGAGTGCGTTGCCGTTCCTGTAATCTCTGGAGCTCTCCAGCTTTTTCCAGTCAGCTGCAGAAGGCCGATCCTTGACACGGGCAGAAATAATACAGGGTCATTAAACTGCAGAGAGGCCTATTAGTCCCAGCTGAATCTTCAGTGTAAGGATGCTGAACTCGAGGCTGAATGGATTCAAACTGGGTTTCATGGCTGTGTAGAAAAAAGCTCCTCTATTGACTGAAACAGCAACTGGTCTTTATTTACGTTTACTTGTCCTCGGGTTTCAGCCGCTCAGGTCTCTTTCTGCTGCTTTTATTTGGATCATATTTGATGTCAACAGTTTCGTGTATCATGATTTCACAGATTTTTTTCCATCCATAAGAGACAAGTGGTCTCATTAGAAGACCAGGATTTCCCTTCTGATAGATCGTACACGTAGGGTGAATAATCCTGAGCTCTCACTGTACTTATGCTGCTAGAGGACACCAACATTACCTCGCTTTGATGTCTTAACTCTTCAAATGTGTTTTTGAGGTCATCGCTGTCATTTACGTTGTGTTTTTCTCTTTCCCACATTAAGGATTTTTGGCCCAGTGCCTCCGACTCTTTCCTGTCCTCTAAAACCCCAGTCGGCTGAGCCAGAAGGCCACCCACCCTGAGCTTAGCTCCACTGCTGGTTCCTTCTCATGTGGAGCTGCTCGAAGTCCTCGTGCACGCTCTGGATGAGGACAATTTGCCTGTTGGCCCAGAACCTTACTTGTGCTGCATCTAAAGTTAGAGGACGTTTGCAACTTGTAGCTCAAAAATAAAAGTTTTCTTCATATAAATAAAAGAGGCTGCAAAACTTTTGTAACTATTTGTTATCGTTATAAACTAAACATTTCCAAATTAACCTTTTTTAAACCAGTTTTTAAAAATATTTAGAAAAAAGAAACATTTTTGCTAATTTTCTAAGGAAAATAAAAGGCTGACGCAATAGATGCAACAGTCCTAATGGCCATCCTGTGAGCTGTAAGCTCAAATAAATCCGCTTCAAAGAGTCTTCTCCGTCTGAAGGAACATTTCTAATATCAGCCTTGAGGGAAAACAGTAGGATGTCGTTAAAAAGACGGACACAGGGATAGAAAGGGAGTGATGGGGTAAAAGACCACAGCCAGTCAGCTGCTTCTGTTCAGCATTAAACATATTGTTAGTGGTTTGGCCTTGCCACAAGTGCAGGGCGTGTGTGCCTGTGATTGTGTGTGAGAGCGAGTGTGTAACACCACAAGAACGTGGCCCAGAGAAGACCAGTTAAAAGAGCTGTAAATCTGGAGGAGGAAGGAGCAGGCTGCAGGCCAACACACACAAAAACACCAGTACACGCCCACTGGGGGGAGGATGAGAAACTGCCGGCAGAGGCAGACGCGCGCGCACACACACACACACACACACACACACACACACACACACACACACACACACACACACACACACACACACACACACACACACACACACACACACACACACACACACACACACAGACACTCACCACTCTGTTAGTGTTGGGTGTGCGTGCTGCGATGCGTTCATATTCATCTATCTTGGATTGGTCGATGTCTGCCTTCAGCTCCCAGGTGGCGTCTTCGTAAGGCAAACTGCACCATTTCACCAAATATAAGGTCACCACCTGCACACGCGCACACACACATAAACACACGCGCACGATAAACTTGGGCTTGTGGTAAGGAACAGAAAAGATGAGAGGCTCAAATTCGAGGAGATCAAAGCACCTCTCCGTTTTCATCTGTGCTCTCTGAAACGTCCAGGACACGGTCCACCTCTACATAGTCCGGGTTAAAAGGCTCATCATCCATCTGGAAGAAGAACAAAGGACCCTTAAAACTCTTCAAACCAAGGTTTTACAATGATGGGAAGCATGAACCACATTAGACCAGGTTGATGTTTTTAAGTAAAACCAGAACACAGGTCTCACCTCAGTTATAAAGTTGTTAAGTAGCTGTTTGGCCCTAAACCTCTTAATCTTCTGGTGAATTCTCTTGTCCTTCTCCAGCTCCTCCAGCTCTGCCCAGCGACAGTGGAGGTAAGAACTGAAACAAACATACCCGCTTAGTTTCTGAGCTTTAATGTCTTCGGAGCAAAAGCCACATGTGTGGGTCATGCGCTATGGAGGTGATTTATGGTGTTTTAAGGAGCTGCTGGATGGAGAGTGTTCAGACATGAACTTTTCGATAACATTTAATTTTTGTGGAATTTTATAATTTCTTCTTCATATAATAGGGAAGCACATTTAATTTATTGAATGGTTTACAACAAAAGAAACAAACAGAAGTTCAGCTAGCTTGAAATTGGATGTCTAAATCTATTTAAATGTATGAATATAATATTGGACAAAACAAGATCTGTCTGACCATTTCTATAAATATCACACACATATCATGTATGTAACATTTCAGTCAATCCAGAGTTGCAGCCAATATTGTCTTCTGGTCAAAATCTCGTATTTAAGGTGGAGGAACTGCAATGATGTGGGCTTCCTACTCCATGCAGACCAATCTCCACGTGAAAATAAAATCAGGAATCCAATAAATGTGCTTGTGATATTAGTGCTGTCACCAATGTGACCGACCAAGGCTACCTACCGACCAAGGCTACCTCAGATTAAACTGACAGGCATCAGCACTTCCTCCATCTCTGCTTAGCGTGATGGAGCGGTTACATCCATTTTCTTTAAGCTACACAGTTGTTTTGCTCCAGAAACTTCTACGACTTATTTTTCCCATTTTTGTTCACCACAATAGCTCCAGGTTAAAAATTGCATCAGACCGTGAAGAAGTCATTCACTAAACCAGTTTGATTTAAATAACTGAATGCATTAATCGTCGATTTGCCAAGTTAAACCCAGGTGACGACTTTCTGATAAATTGTGTGAAGACTGTCCTCTAAATGTAGTCTGTTGAGTTTGGCTTTTAAACTTTTGGTTTGAAATAAAAAAATAAATATCTTTAAATTTTTTTACATCCGACACGAGCTCTCAGCCAGACAGCGATCTTCAAGTATTTAGCAATGAGGGTAATGCCGGGACTGCACAACTACCATTTGTGTTACTGATGCAAGAACAGAGCTGAAGCAGATATAAAAGCAGTCACAGCAGAAAGAAAATTGAATAAGGCTTTCAGGGAGAATATGCTGCGCTTTTCCCACTTAAAGACCAATGGACACCCTGGTGTGTGTGTGTTGAAAATGGGTCTAAAAAAAGAGAAAGCCATGCTGTGAAAGACAAAAGTGGTGGAGAGCTAAGAAAAACCTAGCTACTACTTACAAGCCCTTGAACTTGACGTAGAACTCCTCCACCTCCACTTCCTCCCCCGACTCCAGCTGAAAAGGGAAAAACAAAAAGGTTAATAATCACAGCAAATATAGCAGCAGGTTGGTGAAAGAGCAGAAGTGGTTGCCATTGTTATAAAACATGTGGTTTAATTTGGTGAAGTGGCACACAAGGAGCCAGCACACCAGTGCCGGTCAGAACCCCAAAGCTTTTGTTTCATTCATTCAAGGCCTAGATTTATGGGGTTTAAGAAATGTGATAAAAAATAATTTTTTTACAGGAAATATTAAAGGAAAAAATTAAGAAATTCTAACCAAAATCTAAGACAAGTAATGAGACCTGAATTAATTTTTGCACGTGTGAAAGAAGAACTCTCAAAACAGTAGCCTATTTGAGCCGTCGGACTCCATTCACTAATACTAATGTAGTTGGAAAACACACACACACACTGCATCTTTCTACTACTGTACTGCCATGAATCATCAATCTCACACACACTGCCTGAGGAAACACTAGCTTGGCGTCTGGCGTAGCTGGCGTTGTGGTTTTGGCTGTGTGCCAAGCCTGGGGTCAACTCTGAATGGAGCTGTGAGAAAGGCTGTGTGTGTGTGTGTGTGTGTGTGTGTGTGTGTGTGTGTGTGTAGGCGGGGGGCAAACCCACTGGGAGCTGGCAGGCAAAGGAGAACTGGCTGGTGAAACTGTATGTACGTGTTGGCTGAGGGATGACTTTTCTTTAGTCAAGGCATATAAAACAAAGCAGCTGACGCACACAGAGTCAATCACAAGCACACAAAGCTCCACGCACACTGAAATACAAGAGCTCTTGTATCTGCTCACCCAGTGAATGCACACCATCTTTGCTCAGTGTGTCCACATGTGTCTGAATGCGTGCGTATGTAATCTCCTCAGGCCAGCTGCGGAGCGGCTAATCAGGTGACGTAAACCATGGCTCGAGCCAGCCTGTCTACCGCGGGCATCTATTTGTTGTCACAAGTGTAGTAGGTACGGGAGAGTGGTTTTACCTGTTTCTTAGAGGTGCGCATTCCCATGATCTTCTCCACAACAGGCCCTTCAGCCTCAGCCACATCCTGGGAAAGACAGAAAAGCAGAGATTAATTCTACTTGATACATGCTTTGAAAACCTGTAATTAAATGTATTTATCATTTATTTAGACTTCCAACAGTGCAAAAGTAGACAAATAAGGAAAAATATGTTGCTTTTACAAATACTGTGTGATTTATTTTTATAAATACCCAGAAAAGTAGAAACTAGACAAATCAGAAATGATGAAAAACTTCTCAAACATTAAATTATGTCTAAACACGACTATATGTTTAAGAAAACATTGGGGGTTTTAATGATATTTAAAATATTTTCATCACAAATTCTAGAAACCCAAACGTCACCTGTTGTTGCAAGGAGGATGGAGATTTGGGTGCTGGCGAGTCATCTCCGCTGTCATCGTCCTCAGAGATCCTAAACTCTAGATCTTCCGTGTACCTCTTCCTCTTCACCTGACGACTCGAACGACGCTTCTTGGAGAGGAAAGGCATCAGATGTTTAGTTTAACCTTCAGAGATATGGTACCTTATGTCTGTTACCTTACACAGAAAGCAGCATGAAGAATAACTTGAGTCTGACTTTTTAGTTGAGTGATCACACAAAGAGAAGTCTACTTGAGTTACTATTTTGAGGCTATTTTGTCTTTTTTAACAACACCAAAACCTTTACACTCAAGTGAGATAGTGCTTAAATGTGTTTCATCATGGTTTGTTATTATTGATCAAAACTCATCAGGAAGTTAATGTCAGAATCTGTTCATGGTAGACAGTCAGAATTACTTAGAGAAGTAAACGTCACCTTCCACCCTAAATAGATGATATTTGATCTGAAGCGAATGCTTCATGGGATTGCAGAAAAGTGAATGAAAGGAGCTAGCCGTGTGGAATGGTTTGTTAAATGTGCAGTACTTCCAGAATTAATCACAGAATAAAGAGTTGTTGACAGGTTGAGGCGTCAGCTTGACAGTAGGTTTTGTCTTTCAAAGAGCTGTAACCTTTCTTGGCTCACTGCCTCAGGTTTCTGCCAACTATGACTCTGAATGTCCTGCAGCGGTTTTATGGCCTTCTGTCTTCTAGCAGGAGTTCCTGGACCTGTCCTTGTGCAGATGTGACTTATTAAATGTGGAGCTGTGTACAAGAATGCAAACCCACCTGTACGCCATCATCATCCTCTTCTTCAGGAGGAGAGGGCAGTGGAGACTTCACCTCCACATCGTCGCCACCCGACAACTCTCTCTTCCTCTTGGAATCCTTCTTAGCGGTGCTAGCCCCACCCTCTGATTCCACCTTTTTACTGCTGTGGAAAAGAAAAGGGATTACTTTTTAAATAAAGAAAAAGTCACTAAAACATCAAAATCCCATTTCTCACAATGTTATCTCTGTGACAGGCTACCTAAGCCTTCATTTATGTATGTGTGTGTGTGTGTGTGTGTGTGTGCGTGCGTGCATGAGTGCGCCTCTCTGTCCCAGGGCAATCGCCATGTTTGATTTACCCATTTAGAAATCATTAGTGTGCCTCAGGCTCTGGCACACGGGGGGTTAATATGATGAAAGACTGCATGGAGGAACAGGAGCAAGATAGAGAGATACAGGCACAGAGAGGAAGAGAGGGGGTGGGGGGTCTGGGGAGAGAGAGACAGGCAGACAGAAAGAGGCCCCTGAGAGAGGAGGTGGGAGGAGCTGAGAGCTCCCCAGGCTTCCTCTAATCTCTGGCATGGAAAGAAAGAGGAGCTGGCTTCATCTGCGAGTGTGCGTGCATTAGCACCACAGAGGTGAGAGGATACTCAGCATCCCTCTTCTGTCTCATACAGCCTGTCTCAGTGCTCTTATTATCCAGACGTGTGTGTGTGTGTGACTGTGTGTGCGTGTGTGTGTGTGTGTGTGAGAGAGAGAGAGAGATACAGGTGTAGGGTGTTTGACCTCCTGTGAATCCACACTGTCCCATATGAAAAACTGGGACAGTCTTTTTCCTTGTGTCAGCCAGACAGGGAAGTCACATGTTTAGAACCAGCTGCACACTTTATCACCTCATTCAGAGAAATTAGTCAAATATATATATTCTTTACTTGAATAAATTTAATGATTTGAGCCAACTTCATAACAATCTCTGGTGTCAACACACTTTCCTGCACTGACATGATTATGGTACTGTCTAACCCAGAAACGCTCGCTACTGCTTCATCTTCCACTGTAGACAGGATCTTTCTGACTAGGGTGGGATGAGCTTTTCACCACTGCTGTACATGCGAAGCTGCTGTGACATCAACATGTCTGTGTTCTAATTTGACACTTTTGGAAACTTACAATTACAGGTAAGTATACAGTCACAAAGATGAATGTGAATGATGGAGACCACAGTGAAATAAGGTGCCAATGAACCAATGGGGCCAAGCTGTGCAGTGGTTCACCTCAACACCTCCGGCAGCAACCAGAGATGCAAGGTGGACTATCGATCAAACACTACATGCTGGCGTTGGGTGTAGAAGGTAATTATAGCTGTAAACACTACAGGTACATCGGGGAAGAAAAACTAACAAATCTGAGCAACAGAGCAGTCGGAAGTAATAGTGATATGCATTTTTTCATTCGTGATAGACAAATTATTCTGAACTGATTTTAAAATATTCAAAAAGATTTTAATAGGTTATTAATCAAACATTTTCATGGTAAGTAAAAGGCAGATTGCAAGAGACGGGATTCTTAATTAAGAGCAACATCGAACAGTTTTTGAAGGAGTACATAAAGACAAAGTTCTGTCTGTGCTATAAACATGGAGTCGTGATTAATGAAGAAATAGAAATCGATATAGTTGAGATTTTAAACGACAGAAGGCATAGCCCAACTGGTGAGTAAGAAAGTGTTCCTTTTAGCTTCTTTAAGGACTGTGATATACTGGCTGCTTAACGACAGGAACACATATTTTAAAAGGCTGCCGCGCATTACGTGCGTTGATTTGAAGCGTTGTTTGTGCGCGTCCCCCAAAATTAACGTGATGCGTCTTCACGCTGCGATATAAGAGTATATTGATGCCATGTTTGTTTTGGTTGTTCCCACAAACACGGCCCTTTATCTGGTCTGAGTTCTCTTTTGCGCCCCCCAGTATCACATGCAGTGTAGTGCTGTGTAGCGTGTACATGTGACCAAAGATGCGGCCTGCTGCCTGCACCAACGCGAGGTTAAACAGCAAGTACACAATGGCCCTTAGTGTAGCCTCTTGCTCGGTGCAACTTGTTGCTGCTTTAGTTCAATGAACTGAGTCAAAACAACTCAAACACACATATTAGTCTGCGCAAGACAAGAGAACGTGGTCTCCATGATACTTCGTTTCTGTAAAAAAAACTACTTTGCTAATGTGACTTTTTGGCCAATTTTTGCAGATTCTCTTAATTTTTGAATTCATATCAAGTTTTGCATCTTGTAGTATACAAGTTGAAGCAATCAGCACCCACGACCAACTCCTGATCATTGATCGTGTGCTCACATGAAAATCAAGTTTGATATTCCGCTGATCCCTCAGGGGATTTCTGTGTTTGATAGGTCTAAAGTGACGTTTTTATTATTTTTCAAATGGCCTTTAGATTTTCTAACTTTCGTATTTCTCTAATGATTAAATTAAAGAAAAAAAAAATTTAACCCCTCATTTATGCATGGGATTTAAAAATAAGAGTGAAAGAAACACTCTTAAACATCAATCAGGCAACAGCTGTGTTTGTTTCTAGTCTGTTGCCTATATATGTTATGTGTAGAAGGGCTGCAACAACGAATCAACAAAATTGATAAAATTCGATGAAGAAATGCGTTGGCAACGCTTTTCGTCATCAATTTGTTGTGTTGAGCAACTTTCTGTCGTGCTGTGCAACTTTTATTTAACAGTCAATGTGCGCAGCTCATCTGATGCGGCTGCAGAGCAGACTGAGGCAGATCAGAACAAGAAACACATATAAGTCGCACGTGCAGTTATTGTGTAAGGAAGATGCCTTTTACTGGCACACAATGACTAATCTAGGTGCTGTGGAGGAAAACAGATAAACCAGCTAAGAAACAGAGGCAAAAACAGTCCAAAGTTTGGTATCAAAAGTGTAACTACAAGCAGATTTGCTAATGTTAGCTGGTAGTAAGCTCACGATCAAATGGGTTCTAAAAAACACGATGGCTGTGAAACTAAGAATGTCTAAACTCCACAAACAGAAGTCCCCATCATCATCTTGTTTATTAGCTGTCTGCAGTGCTAAGGAGCAAAATCGGCGCCGCTGCAGTCCGACTACGGCTTCGAGTCTGCTCTGCCCAACACCACTGAAGGAATATGGCAAACCATTGTAGCATTTATTTCACAAACGCATCTATCTGTGAACATAATTTCAATTGGATTATTAACCCATACATAATAGATATGTCACCATTACATTTTAAGCATTAGAAATTAAATGTTATTATCATTTCCAGTAGTTTACTACTGAACATGTTAATGAAATACATTACATTTCACTGATCACAGTTTAATTATGGATACATTTAGGTGATAGCATGTTGTTCTGCTTTTGAACGGTTTTCTAATCATGTTCTGTTGTTAAATGGAGAAAAAAAATGTTTCCCTAGAATTGTTTCAATGTGAAAAATGACAAATTAATTTATTTCCTGATCAGGTTTTTCTTGCACTCGAGTCCAAATCATTTGATTTTGAGAATCTGCTGATACAGCGTATCGATCTGATTCTTTAAGAAAGTGAAGAAACTCTGTTAAACAAAGCACAATCATGTTCTGTTGTTTAAGTAAAGGAAGGTGAGTAAATGTTTCCCTAAAAACTTTTTCATTTTCCCGTTTAAACCATCGACATATATACTGGACAATTCATTTCCATAGGCTCCAATAACACGTTTTTGAGGAAAAATGGGAGGGGGCCACCATCGCTATTTTGACCGTGTCACGGGTTCCGTCAAGCCCAGACAATTCCACAAAAGGGAAGAGAGGTGGAGCTGAGGGTGGGGCTGTAAGGCTGGGATCAACTGACGACACCCGGTCGAACTAGCTACAAGCTAACCTGAAGCTAACCCAAAGCTAATGCGGAGGTGGGAGCTAAGCTAACGGAGGTAGCAACCTAGCTACAACCGGAGTTAACTGTGCACAACACCAGAGCTTCTGAGTCAGAGATACGCCGGGCTGACCGCTGGGTAAAACCGAGTGGAACGCAGACGTCTCTCGAGAGCTCCACAAGCCGGCAGCCGCACAGCAGACAAGCGCCGCTGCGATCTGAGATGTGCAGAGCTGCCGCTGGGGAGAACCGGGTGGAAAGGTTTCCAACCCAGAGCTCCACAAGCCGGCAGCCCGCGCAGCAGTCAGGAGCTGCAATCAGACAGAGATGTACCGAGCTGCGGGGAGGGGAGAAACAAAAGTCCAGCGTTATGTTAAATGCACTGAGTTTTACCCTATTACATTTAAATTTCATGGTTAAACAGTACATGTTAAAATCTAAGCTCAGATAATGCAAGAGCGGCAGCGACCTAAAATACATAAATATAATTTTACTTACAGGAAAAAAATGAAGTGGCGACTCCTTGGACACTATTAGTGCAATTAATACCACCGCAAGTCATTTTGTCCAATAATTGCACAAATAATATCCAAAAAGAATGCACAAATGCTACAACTAATGGTCTAAGTTGAGAGACTGAAAATAGCGGAACAATTTTCAGGCAAGGCCGAGGCTCAGACTGAGGCCTTTCCCCGGAGCTAGCTCTGCGGTGACGTGGGTCTGATGCTCATTAATTATACAGAATTTTAGGCTTTTAATACACTTAAACAGAAGAGTGAGAAAAAAATTCTCCCCCCTCAGAGATGTCATGAGTGTAAACTAGATCTATTAAACCAAAAACATGTTTTGGTACCAGGCTGTAAACATGTTTATTTCTGCTGTGAAATTGGTATTTTTAACATGGGAGTCAATGTGGATTTGCTCGCTTCTGATACCAGCCCCCAGCGGATGAGGGTGGAACTGCAATTTATTTCACTTCTGCATTGGACTCAATTTCTGTCCCGTATTGTGGGGGCTTGGTTTAAACCGATTAATCGAGTTGAGACCCCATCCGATTCATCAATGATCCAAGTAATCTTTTGTTGCAGCCCTAATGTGTAGCAGATTATAACAATACAAGAACAAAGTTTATAAAAGGCTTTGTGCTCTATACGTACAGACTAAAAAAAGTGGACTTACCAAGATTAAAAAGGGTTTATGAGTGATTTGTCAGAATTGAGGATACGTGAATTTGGCTAATTTGAAAAAATGGAAATGGATTCATAACA